GCAGAAAGATCTGCATCACTGGATTCTATGAAGAAAAAAATGTAATTATATAGACATTTGAACTCTGATACCATGTAAGTTTAATTGAGATAGTTTTATAAGTGTTGTCAATATATAAACTTAACACCCCCAAATTTAAAGATGGTATGGATACTCCGACAAATTTTGCCTACTGTTGAATAGATTACAAATTCATCCATACCATCAACGTCTTCACAGGCAGAAAGATCTGCATCACTGGATTCTATGAAGAAAAAAATGTAATTATATAGACATTTGAACTCTGATACCATGTAAGTTTAATTGAGATAGTTTTATAAGTGTTGTCAATATATAAACTTAACACCCCCAAATTTAAAGATGGTATGGATACTCCGACAAATTTTGCCTACTGTTGAATAGATTACAAATTCATCCATACCATCAACGTCTTCACAGGCAGAAAGATCTGCATCACTGGATTCTATGAAGAAAAAAATGTAATTATATAGACATTTGAACTCTGATACCATGTAAGTTTAATTGAGATAGTTTTATAAGTGTTGTCAATATATAAACTTAACACCCCCAAATTTAAAGATGGTATGGATACTCCGACAAATTTTGCCTACTGTTGAATAGATTACAAATTCATCCATACCATCAACGTCTTCACAGGCAGAAAGATCTGCATCACTGGATTCTATGAAGAAAAAAATGTAATTATATAGACATTTGAACTCTGATACCATGTAAGTTTAATTGAGATAGTTTTATAAGTGTTGTCAATATATAAACTTAACACCCCCAAATTTAAAGATGGTATGATACTCCGACAAAATTTGCCTACTGTTGGGCTGAATGTCACACAGTGCAGTTAAAATAATCTAAGGTAACGATAGAAAAATTCACAATTTTATGGCAGATTGATTGCTGAACACTCCCTTTTATTAGGGCAAGAAGAACTCACTTGAACCCCACGTGGAGTCAAGTTGCACCCCTGCCCAAGAAGTTCATACAATGCAAGTATATTGGACATAATCTACAACAATCCTAGCGTAATCCATGGAGTTTTCGTCGACTTCACAAAAGTAAAACATACAATAGTCTATACATATTTAACAAATATGAGACATTTTCCACGTTCATATACAATTATATCAACACAGGTGGAAATTGGGAAAACCAGAAATTTGGTGGAAATATGACACCTGAAGGGCGGTGTGTTTTCACACAATTTCAAGTTTTCACGATTTCCACGAGTGTTGATATAACTTTAAAAAACTCATTAATAATTCAGGAGCAAAAAACAAAGAAAAATCATAAGCGTGTCGTGGTTTTATATGTGATAAAAAATCATGTTAATTTACATAAACTTTAGCTTTGATTTTCTCGGTTTAGACAAAGTTTATTTTAAAAATTACTTCGCCAATGAACTCGTATAAGATGAGTCGTTTTTTAAGCCATTTAAAGCACTTGTAGTCGTGTTTTATCACATATAAAACACTCCGCTACGCGTCGTGTTTTATATGTGATAAAACACTCCTACGCGTGCTTTAAATAGTACATACATCAATACGAAAAGAATGTTTTATATTGGTTTTATAATATAGCACAAAGAAATACAAAAAAGAAATTTTCCAATGTTTCTGTTTCTCTTAGCCAATCAGCATTCAAAATATACAAATGCTATAATATATAAAATCATTCACAGCAATAATACAAAGTTGCAACATGCAAACTTTGTACTAAAATTCATGTACCTGAACTTCGACTATCAGGATGAGCGAGACGGTGTTGGTTCGCATGGTATCCCTAAAAAAATAATATTTCAGTATGGTTGTAAACTGAGACTGCTGGTATAAGTCATACTGGCACAAGGACCTACAGACCCCGAGAACAGATATATGATTTATATCCAAAGTTCGAATTTATTACCAGTTGAAGTTTTCAAACAAGGTTTCGTCAATTATGAAGACTCTGGATAAAACTTTTTCTAGTTTTGTCGACAAGTTTAATAAACTATCCATTCACAGGATATAACCTATATACATCCTATGGTGCATCAAAGAAACATGACTCAACAATTAATTAATTACTTAAACCAATATTCTTCTTTTGTTGTTGTAGTAAATACATATTTTAATCAACAACATAATTTTATACGCTCTAAAACAACGTAACTGGATGTTACAGGAAGCTCTTTCTTACAGCTTATATAAATATGTACCCGAGATCTTCTTTTGGCTGTAGGATTTTCATTCTCAATGCGGCGCTTGGTTCCAGTAGTCGGAGACTAAAAATCGATGAAATACTTTCATCATGTGTATTATTAAAAGAATAAAATCCGGAGAATAATACCAACTTCAAATATGAGCTCTCTATAGGAAATTAGCTTGCAAATGGGTACAGTATACCAAAAGATAACAAAGTTTAGTAATTTGTCGACTTCTGCAAACATATAAATTTTAAGCAAAAGAAATTTAAAAAACAACTTTGTAAATATTGGTCTACCTCTGTGGCAGTTTCATTGGTGTCAGGTCGGACATGAAAAAGGTTGCGAATCGAGAAGAGACCTGAAAAAATATAATTATAATTATGCACCTTCGATTTAACCCTTGTCAATTAGGTCATTCTAACTTAGTTATGAGGTGATATATTAACACAAACGCTCTATATTGTGCCATTCAGTGTTATATGGCTTAATAATGTTTAATTGTACGAAAATTTCACCAAATGTTTGCCAAATGATAATTCTTGTACAGGATTTCATGCACCTGATAATTAAAAATTCAATTCAATGAGCTTTTAATTTCTCACGGTGCCATTTTTGCGTGGCTTTTCAGCCAAGTCTGCGAGATAAGTCCAAATAACAGCGACTTTTTTTATAATTTTTTGATGGATGGTATATTTGCTTTGTAAATGGTTAGTTTTTAAAGACAAGAATATGCAGTAGTTCTAAAACCATTTTCAATATCAACTATACGTAAGGCCAAAAAAAAATATGTGGGTTTCCGGTTTCTTCTCATAAAAACTTAGGTAGGGTAGGTCGGTTTTAACTTTTTTTTTTAATTTTCCGAACAAGCGCACGCCATTTTGTTTAGTCAGTGCTTCCACATCCAAAGATAAATTTCCCTAATATTGCCTCAAATTTCAATTTTCCACAAACTTTTTCCTCTAAGTGGAAACACTTACAAACATGATCCAATAAAAAAGTTTAGGGTCGGGATTTCGACGTCCATTAAGGGTCGGGAAACCGGAAACCCACATATTTTTTTTTGCCTAAATGACGAACAAGTTAACTTCATACATGACTATCGCAATAACTGGTTTCATTAAAGTTGAAATAATTTTTTTTCAAATTTGAATAGTTTCCCAATGACTTGAAATATTGTGCTATTTGTTCAATTCTCTATCATTCTCCAAATTCTCGAACTTATACCTGCAACTAGATCAATTACTTCTTTCTCCAAGTTTTCCAGCTCAGCCTGGGCATCTGCACTCAAGATGATTGCCTCGCGTGGATCATACCTATCCTCCGGTCTCTCACGTGTTACCCTGGCAACTACACAAAAAAATACAATTCTTGACTTGCAATTTCAATTTGTGGGCGAATTTGGAACCAACATGGTCACTGTTTCTAAGTCTCAAGGGATTGATTGCAAGTCACGAATATTGTGGTTTATATACAATTGGCTGCAAATTTTCAATCAGGAAAAACTCTGTCCATTCAAAGTCTAGCTTGGAAACAACTCAAGCCTGAAGAAGGACAAGGACATTTTCAATACTATTAATTTCAAATTACAAATATCTTATTATATTATATGGCAGATTAATTCATTTTATATTACGGCCCCTTCCAAATTCCACAATTACAAATAATATTTACAATGTAATTCCACAGTTATTAAAAAAAATACTGATTTGTAACTTACAATAGTTGATCCAAACCAAGAACAGTGGGTCAAATAGTCTGTTCGGGATCTTGATGCCCTGGCCGGTAGTGATCAAGTCGTAGTTCCTTTTACTTCGCAGGTCTGCTATTGTCGCCGTGGGGACCTTGGCAAAGGCAATAGACCGACTGGTTGGGTTCACAGCGGTCTTCGTTATCACATCAACGACCTCCTATATAACAAGAATAAAACTGTATAGATAAATCAAGGAATAAAAGCTGTTTACATGTTCTCATCCAGCATAAAACCATTTCTAATAGAGTTTAATATTTAAACATTACTAGACTCACCTCCCACGTGACCTCGAGATCTTGGAAGACAACCTTTCTAAATCCTGTTGATGGTACACGTCCCTCCCCACTGGTCTTTGTTGCGACGGTCCCTGAAGGGTTGATCCACGTCAAAGCCGCAGGTCCTTCCTGAAAAGGTTAAAATGTTTTAATAAATTGAATGTCTACTTAGTTTCCAAATTTTTATTTCATAATTTTTCCATCTGTTCTTCATTTTCAAACATACTTCATCATCATTGGTCAGTTTTTGAATTACTGATCTCTGCAGCCTCTGCAACACCGACACAGATTTGGCACTGGCAACAAAGGTTTGAAGTACCTCTGCAATCCTTGGCCGTTGCTCAACAGTGGCATGGATCTTAAATAAATTTTAAAACGAAGAAATCTGATCAATTTCTTTATAAAAATATTCATTAACTAAACAAGCAGAAGACAAGCTGGATCGTTGTCAATTCCAGATGATCAAAATAAACACCCCAGAAAGTATGTTTTTTCATTACTAATTGATACTGACAATGGAAAAAGACAAAAGGAAAATATTAAAAGATAAAGGAAAAATATTTGTTATGGGAACCAGGGTTCGAATTAGACAGGAAAAAATCGATTTGCAAATTTCCTTCTTGAAAATTTGCACATTGTTTTTGCAAAAAGTCATTCACAAAATGGATGATTTTGCATTTCGCAATAAGCAAATTTGCATTAACAAATTGCAAATAGCGAGCCGCTAATTCGAACCCTGGAATACGATTTATCATACTGCCTTTTCAGTAACAGATTAAAAAAATTCTCTTTATTATACCTACTAAATCATATTGCAACCAACTACTTACCATTGTATGCACAAGAACCAGCTTTGCCACTGCATCGCCTAACTGATCTTGTTCCGGCACACTGGACTGCAGGGCGTTGAGGAAGATGGTTTTTATGGCATTAGCCCTTTCAGCAACTTCAGGCCACAAAGTTCTTACCCTCATTCCCCACGCTACAATCAAACCCTACAAATAAATTAAACACATTTATGTAAATCATCGCGGTCTGTTCATGTTCACGCTATTGGAATCAGAGCAATTAATTACAGTGCATGTGCTCGCCTCTAACCAACTGACTTTAACACTCGAAAATTTGCTCATGAAGTCATTAACGTTGATGTGCATTCATGCATAGCCCCCCAAGTTTTCAGAAGACACAAGAAGTGCCCTCTCTCCGGTGGCAAAATGCCCTTTGTCTTTGTGAAAAACGTTATTCAGAAAATAACCTGCAATTCTCGAGAAAAGTGCCCTAGCTTCAATAAATAAATGTCCATGAAACAAGTTCAACTTTTGGTCAATTTTTAAAAAAAAAATGGGTCAAAAATGTTGATTGAATGTTCAGTTTGCAATTCGAAATTTGAGCAAATCTATTATATCAAGGTTCGAGCATGGGATATTATATAATTGCAAAATTGTTTTCCACCCACAAACCCCATCGACAACATATGCGGGGAAAATTTTTAGGCACCCTTTTCATTGCCCGAAAGTGCCCCTTCAAAGCCAGCCCTCCCCCAACTTTTTTATGCTTCCTACATGCCTGCATTCATGTGAGTTATGCTCTTTGCTGTTCTTCTTGTTGGGTGGTTTACTACACGCATAAAAATCTCGCATCTTGTAACAAGTCTGCCAACAAGAGGTATTCGCACTGCTTGTCACAAGTTGTCAACAGGTTTGGAACAACTTGCTGACAACTTGTTACAATGTTGTCGAAATTATCATACTTGTTGCAAGGTTGTTATGACAAATCCGTTACATTCTTGATATAACAAGACTGTTACAACCTTGTGTTGGCAACCTTGTAACATCCTTGTTATATCATGACTGTAACAAAATTGTTAGAACAAACTTGTAACAAGGATAATGCCTTCTTCAAGCTTGTTACAAGTTGTTAATGTTCAGCTTGTTTCAAACTTGTTACAACAACTGGGAACAAGCAGTGCGAACACAACTTGTTGACAGCTTGTGAACAGACTTGTAACAACTTGTTTGCAGACTTGTTACAACTTGTGCATTTTTACATGTGTAGTGTATTTCTACAATACAATGTTGATGAAAATACCAGGAAGGGTTACAGCTGTGTCAACGAAATTCCAGCAATTAGTATCGCGCTACTAAAA